TATTATGAATTTAATAATTTGTTTTTTCAGTTATATTTGTATTTACGAATTTTTTTTTCGTATCGGAAAATATTCATAAATAAATTAATAAATTACCGTTGCGAAAACACCATGTTTTTCTCGCGTTCTTTTTCACGTTCTTAGACGAGATTATCGTTTTAATAAAAGAGTTATCGTTGTTCCTTCCGTTAAATAAACGTTAGTGAAAGTTACGTGGTTCGTACCGCCAAGGAGTCGAAATAATTTTTATCGTGAGGAATTATTTCTCATCGGTTCTTGTGAGATCCATTCGCGACGTCTAGTTCGGTGTCCGGTTAAAAATTGGGAATTTTTATTGTAAGATTGGAACTAATCCCAGGTTTTCTTGGCAATTTCCGAAAACAATGATTTCGATAGTAATTCAACGACGAATGCCATATGCTTCTTTAACGTCGAGTTAATTTAAATAATATATATTTAGATGAAAGAAATGACTTTTCTTCATTAAAAATGTTCTATCATTATTAGGATTGGTATTATTATTGTCTAATGCCAGAAAGATTTAATGGTAGATTAAATATGGATGTAGCATTGTGTATAAATTTTTATTTTTTAAGTAATTTCATATTGTAATTTGTATAAATTTTTTATAAAAATAATTACGAACGAATATATTTTTAATTAATATAATTTGTCTCTTTTGGAAAATTATTTCTAGGTACTGAGGATATTAATTTTTAGTTTCTTTTAAGAAACTATTTGCAGGTATTGGACATCCATCGCCATTTTGAAATATTAGTTTTTTAGATATAGTTTTTAGATATATCATTTTATATATGTATATGTATAATAAAATACATGCACAAATTCATGTATCAAAAATATTTCTATAATTTTTATTAATATTATATATTATATATACGCGAAATTATACATGAATGTTATATAAAATGTGCGAGTACTTACGAGAAAATTTCGAGACAAATCGAATGGGTACCCCTATATCAGTAAGATATTGATTAAAAGAAAAAAATTATTAATTTAAACGTTATAAGAATAAGAATCTAAAGAATTAATCTAGAATTAATTATTTGAAATTGTTTGATTTATTTTATTTTGCACACTATTCTAATTGAAATTTTTTTAAATCTTGCTGATATCGAGTTCGATTCATCTCGTGCGCGCGATACTTGAAAATTATTATATGTATGTGTTCGCATATTTAACACAAACTCCAATGATGCATGGATTTTATTATTTATAAATATAATCGTTCGTAATCACATTTCAATAAAAAAGGTTGTTATATCCATTTAATTTTCAATAAAGAAATATATTTCTTAGTAATGGAAGGACATATTTTCTGGCGTGAATATCATTTTCGTAAATTGAAGATAATGACGAGGGATAATTGTCGTTGATTTATTACTGAAATCATTGCTATCGGGAATAGTCCGGAAGATCCGGGATTCGTTTCCTCTTACAGTGAAGTTCTCGACGTTCAATGGATCACTTAACTTTTCTTCATAGATTGATCTTGCGAAATCTGATGCAGAAACAAGATGTTCTCGATTTTTAAGATCGCTTCTCTTTTTATCGGATACTACCTGTATGTCACTCGCGTATCTGCAGTTGAATATTTTTAATATTATCGATTTATTTATTCGTCCCGTTTTATCGCGAATTTTAAATCACGATTTATCTTATAATTTAACATTATCTTAAAATTTAATCATTTGTGTGATAATAATTATGTCGCACACATGCCTATCAATTATCATATTATAAAAATTATGCGTATCTCGCAATATGAATATTCCGATTATTATCGATTTATTTATTTGTCGCGTTTTATCGTGAATTTTAAATCGCGATTTATCTTATAATTTAATCGTTGACTTATACATTGAAGCTTTGTTTATCTTTCCACGTCTTTGAATATTGTTTTTAATAGTTCGTGCAAAATGCTGGTAGTGCAAATATTTTCTTCTATAATTTAAAAGACAATCGATAACTTTATTAATGACTGTTTTAATCGTGATTCTTTAATTTATTTAAATCTGATTAAATTTTACTTTTACATCGATTATTAAAGAGACTTTGAAAATTATTCGTTCCGTTATTTTCTATTAAACGTCGCTACAACGCTATTTTTAATTATATTTTAAAGCTTATAGAGTTCATCTTATTCAGCTAATCATGCGCGAAATAGAATGTATTTTATTCTTAATCGTGAAATTCATATAAAGTCGCGTGTATTAATCGCAAATAAATCAAACAGTGAATTTTATATTCATAAACAATACGGATCACAAATGTTTGCCAAAATATCTTTGTCTGTCATCATTTGTGTGATAATAATTATATCGTACGCGTGTCTATTGATGGTTTAGATTATCATATTATAAAAATTATGCGTATCTCGCAATCAAATATTCCGATTATTGTCGATTTATTTATTCGTGTCGTTTTCTCGCGAATTTTAAATTGCGATTTATTTAGTAATTTAATTGTTGATTTCGAAGTTTAATCTATCTTTTCATTTTGAATATTTCCTTTGATAATCTACACAAAATGCGCCAGTAATGCAAAAATTTTCTTTTACAATTGAAGAAACGATCAATAATTTTATTAATGACTCTTTTGATCACAATTATTTACATTATATTATATAAAACTTATTAAATTCTATTATTGCATATCTATTATTAATAATAAATGTCGCGAAATTAATCTTCGCTAATCAATCTCGTCTGGACTATGTAAAAATTTTTAGTAAATTTTATATTATACGTATATTTTGGACATTTTCGTGTAATAAATTATTCCATGTATATATATTTTATATATTTATATATGTTTATATATTTTATATATGTATAAAAAGAGACAATAATATAAAAAAAAATAGAAAAAGGCAACTACAGTGATTTAAATATCTATATCTGAGAACAAAGAAAGTATTCCGATGGACTCCATAATAGGAAGGACTAAGCATGACAAGTGATGGTAATCTTTATGATGTTACATAAAAGAATACAATAAACCATAATAATCCAAGAACTTAAAGAAAAGAATATATTGGATAGAAATGCATAATGATTGGGAAAGATTAAAAACTAAAAGATAGTATGCATACATCCTATTTTTATTAATAATAATATTATTTTGTAATTATATTAAATTTTATAATTTAGTATACTGTATTATATAAAGTATTAAGCAAAAATATTATGCTGGTATGAAAATTATAATAAAAATATATAAATAATGTTGGCTATATTAAAATGGAACATATAAATTCTTTATATTTTATATAAAGAAAGAGACATTTAAAATATTTTGCAACATCTATATTTTTCGAATCTTAATTATAAAAACTTCAGAAGGATCAGTGATTAATTTGATAAATTCTATACATGTATTAATAATTAAATTTTTAAATAATTTAAAAAATGATTAATAAATATCAAAGATCAGTTTACTGCTAATTAAGATTGATAGAAATACGGTTAAAAATGTTTTTATTCCACAGCAGGCATTTTGTGTTTTGTAAATAAAAATATATAAATACGACAATAAATATAGAAAAATATTTATTTTACCCTTAAACATTACATTGGAAAATTACAGTATCTTTCGCGATTGAATAATTTATTTACTATCAATTTATATACATAAATGTCTTGCTATACAGCACTGTCGGCATCATAAATTATTATTTTCATTACTATCGAAGCATTTGGTTTTGTATGAATGTATGTGGGCTTTTTATTGTTTATTTTATCCTATAGCGCTCTAACGATGAATTTTTCTTTTTTCACATTTTAACTAAATTTATACTTACTTTTCTGCGACATACGAATAATATTGTTAAAGGAATACAGATGATTTTCATATGTTGATTTTGTTATTTTTCATACTGAGGAAGACTAAGTAAAGTCGAAACGTTTGTGATTATTGAATTAAATGAACTTATTAATATTGGTTTTATTTTATTTAGACCCTAGTTATTAGCTGGTATTATTGGCCCTAGAATTTTTATTATTGCTTTGCAACACACGAGCAGTATTAGTGTTATTATTATTTATTTTCGTATTATTTTCATTATTTATCATTAATATAAATGTGCTTTCTCGAGGCCATTTACGAATTTTAGAACAACAAATTCTTCCAATTTAAGGACATTCATGCGGTAATCGTGAGTCAAATGAGGACTATCATTTACAAATTTTATTTACAGTTTGTTAACTGTTTAAAAATATTTCAATAAATAATCTAAAATAATTTATTAAGTTTTTTTGACTTATTAAAATTATTTGTTGATTAATTATCGCAAAAAACTAAAATAATTAATTTGACAAAAACACACGAATACTAATACATGACATGAATAATAATAAAAGTAATTATTACAACGTTAGAAATAATCATGGAATTTTAAAGAGAAAATTTGTTTCTCAAAAACAAAAATTGTGGCGAGATAATCACTTACAAAGTGTTAAAAAAATAAAAACTTGTGATTTATCAGTTTCATCACCGGCATCTAACCTCTCTCACCTGTCAGGTAGACGAATAGTACAGTAGTAGTACTAATTGTAATTGTTAATAAATAATTCAAACGTACGATAACACCTTTTTTTTATGATAATAATATTATGATTCAAAGGATATTTCAAAACATTATTTGTCATCGTATCTATTCTAATAATATTTTTTTCATAAATTTGAAACATAAAAAGTTATGGTTTTTCATAACAGCCTATGTTAAAAAAAAGATTTTTCATCGTTAATAACTTTTTTTAATGACCGATAACATACCACGAATTTTGTAAGAACGATCACAATGTTATTATTCTTGCTAAATATCAAAGGTTTGAATTTTTATCTAATAATAAGCTTAACGCCCGAAACGCGAACGTCTTTAACGCGAACTTTAAAACAATTTGTTTTCTACCTTTGGCGCATGCGTGATGGTGGGAGGAGCGATCTCCACGCATACGCGTGGAGTAAAATGGAATGAATCACATGTCGTTCATGCGCATCACTCAACAGATCTTTTATCTACCTTTATTTTTACTCACGTGATAGTTTTTAACAGTTTTTTTTTTTAAGAGGCCTATTACGGTTTTTAAAACGAGGTAAAAATTGTGAAAATGAGCAGATTTACTAAATTTTGACAAATGAAATTATTAAGTATCTCCCACTTTTGTCATCCCCCCGTTTTAAGAACAGGAACCGTGATTTCACGGTCCCTAAATTGGAAAATGAGCGGCTAAGGTCAAAGTCATTATACTTTGAATAATCTCAATAATTCCGAGATAACCTTATATTTTAAATCCAATTTAGACAAAACAAATATTTTATCAAACTGATAATTCGCGAGCTGATACGCCAGAAATTCGTGATATATAAGTGTAACTAATAAACTCCAAATTTTAGTGTAAATTTTAGAGAAGATCGACATTGTCAATTATTTCGACGTACCATTTCATAGTCGTTAGCTTTTTTATTAAAGTACAATTATACACATCACAAATATGGACAAGAACGATAAATTGCAAATATTGAAGAATGCTATAAAAGCTTATCCCAATTTTCCTGAACCTGGAGTGACTTTTCGGTAAGTCAATATTGAAAAAAAAAAGGCGAGAAAATTTCCAAAAAGATTACACGAGAAAGATAGAAAAATATTTTAATTATATAATTATTATTATATATTTATTATTGTTATTAATATATTTTAATTATTAATATATTTTGTATGAATAATTAATATATTTTATATATTAAATATATTAATTAATTAAGAATATTAATATATTTTAATTATTAATATACTTTATCATTATTATCATTATTATTTTTTTAATTAAATTAATATCAATTCTTTCGTTTTTTATATTTATTAAGTCACTCATTTTCAGAGACATATTTGGTGTATTTCAAAACATCACAGCGCTAAGAGCGATGAAGGATTTAATTGTGGAGCATATTTTATTCCTCGAAGTAGATCTGATTGTAGGATTAGACTCGCGTGGCTTTCTCTTTGGCCCTATGATCTGCATGGAATTAGGCAAGCCGTTTTTACCTATTAGAAAAAAAGGGAAACTTCCAGGGAAAGTCGTTCAACAAAAATATGTCCTAGAATATGGCGAAGTAAGTTAAAAAGTTTTACACAATGTTGACTGTGACTTGGAAAAATTTTTGTTTATATATAATTTATACATGAATTTTATCCTACTTTTACAGGCCACATTTGAATTGCAATCAGACTTGATTACCAATGGAACTAGAGTGCTTATTGTTGACGATTTGCTGGCAACTGGAGGTAAAGTGCGAAATAGTTTTTAATTTTATGATATGTATATATTAATTAGAATATATAAATGTTAAGAATGAATGAAATATATATTTGAAGGTTCAATGTCTGCTGCTGTTCAATTGCTAAAATCCGTAGCAGCTAATGTAGTTGAATGCTTGGTGATAATAGAATTGACTTCGTTAAAAGGCCGAGACAAGATTGAAGTTCCTCTACATTCTTTTTTAAAATACGATGATTAATAGATAATTTTTTAAAAAATTGATAAGTACAAAGCATAGACAATTGAGCATAATAATGTAATACAGTAACATGTATTACCGCTTGCATTCCTGCCGTATAACATTTCCAAAAATAGATAAGAAAAAATGAATATTCTTTTATATTTGTATATACATAAATAAATGATTTTTATATTTTATATACAATGTAAAAAAGTAAATTTGTATAAATAAAATTGTATATATAATTTTTTAAAATACATATATACAACTAAAATGTAATTATTTATATATATCAATGATTATGTTAAAGTACTTTATTTTATCTAAATTTGACGAGATTAACTTTTCCATTATCTAACTTCTGATCTACATGATCTCAGTGAATCTAGAAAACTTTGTACTTCATATTCGAGTTTTATTACATCTTGCTGCAATTTTTCATGATTCTTTGATTTGCTGTCTTCAGAATTTGAGATGCCATCTTCCTTAATCTTGCATTTATTACATTCTTGTATTTTTTCCAAGTCATTATTTTTATACAAATGACAGTAAGAGTTTTCTACTCTCGCATCTGGTGTAAATTTATCAAAATTCCAATCTAAATTATTAATATATTCTTGAAAGCATTTTTTTACCTCTGAAATAAAAACCATTGATTAGTGAAATTTCCTTCCATATTTATAATTATATTACTTTAATAATTATAATTATATTACTAAAATAATACTTTATAATTATAATTATATTACTAAAATATAATTATAATACTAAATATAATTATATAACTAAAATATAATTTATATTACTAAAATATAATTATAATTTATATTACTAAAATATAATTATAATTTATAATTATATTACTAAAATAATAAAAACTAAATGTTATATGAATTGTAATTAAATATATGCTATCAAGATTAAGGCGAGAAAATATGAGAAATGAAGAGAAAAATATATGAATTATATACCATTTAATCTTGTTTCATGAATTTGTCTCGCAAAAGCTTTAGTCTCTGTGCATAATCTCTTTCTATCGGCACGTTCTACAATCTTACGATTACACTCTTGCAAATGTTGTTCTTGTATTTTCAATTTTCTCAAATCCGCAATGCTGAGATTCTCAGCGAGGAATTTTGGATATTCCTTCTTTATAAACGAAGGATAAGGCCCAATATGATTTAATTGCAACAGTTTATCCCTGAAATAAATTTCCAATATTAATAAATACATGATTGTTGCGTACACTACACAATAATACCTTAGATAACGATTAGGATGTACTCGTTCCGGTATCTCTTGATCTAATCTTCTCGCAATCTTCAATAAATCCTTGGCTCTAATGTGACTTTGTGTGCTATAAAAAGTCTCGATATCTCCAGAACGTGACTTTATCAAGGAAATTATATTTTCTCTCGAATAAATATTATAAGCAACGACACACATCAATAGGAGGGAGGGTTTCTGAAGAGATATTAAATGGTCCCACAGAATTAACCATTCATCTCCCGATAACACTTCGCTCATGGCAGTCTGCAGTAACGGCCACGCATATTCGCTAGTCGTTATTCCATGTTCGCAGAAGATATTTAGTAGCGCAGGGTCTGCCTCCAAGAGAATATTTTCAATAATTCCAAGGACGTTCAGTGGGGGCAATGGATGGTATTCAAACCATTTTTGACAGTAATTTAGTAATATGCTTAAAATCAACTCAAAGGCAAGTAGGGGGTCTTTCTGAAACAAAATTAAATATCTTGGTTCATGTTGATAAAAAATACTCACACATTTAAAATAAAATAAATAATAGAATAAGTAAAATAATAATAGAATAAATATAATAAATAAAATAAATAATAGAATAAATAAAATAATAATAGAATAAATATAATAAATAAAATAAATAATAGAATAAATAAAATAATTAACAAAATTAAATATCTTGGTTCATGTTGATAAAAAATACACATTCAAAATAAAATAAATAATAGAATAAATAAAATAAATAATAGAATAAATAAAATAATAATATAATAGTAATAATAGAATAAATAAATAATAATAGAATAATAACAGAATAAATAAAATAATACCTGAAATACGACTAGAAATGGAAAAATCAAGTTGGGGAGAAACGGACTTTGTATTAGCAATGGATACCATTGCAACAGGCAATCCATCGTCATGGCCAGCAATGACGCCCTGCCTTTGTCCGCCAGGGGATGATCTTTCGAAGTACTTGACGTAAATTTTCCACGAGTCACCTTACTTGCCAAGGCAACGTATGCACTCTTGTTGGCCGGTAGTTTTAAAATAGTGGACCAAATGAGCGTGCGATATTTATTTGGGAATTCCCCAAATTCCTTTAAAATAGACATTAATCGTTCCGTATCCAACTCTCGTTTCATACTCTGTCTAACGCACTCCAAATGATCGCTTATCTTGTGCGCCTGGAGTCTACGTGGCTCTGATGGTTTTCTCGGTTGGTGAGAAAATAATTTTCTCGAAATTATTTTATCCGCATACGTTATATTCAAACACCCTTCCTGGTCTATGTAGGCTACATATCTGCCGGCAGACGAAATGGCAAATTTTTTAACTCTATCGATGGAGATAGATGTGTGGAGAAAATTTGATTCATTTATATCGCAAAACTGAAGAGTGCATTTGGAAGATAGAAACGCGACAATTTTGTTCGCTCCACCATCCAATGGATACGGGACAACTGATAATTGTCTGGCCTCGGCAAAATTCTTAGATAACTGTAGCTTCTTCAGCAAGCTCCAATCATACGTGTTCAGAACGCTTATGCTTCCTGCGCCAGCCATTATCATGGCTCTTGCATCTCTGGTGAAGACAAAATCCTTGATATAACGCACCCCGAATGTGCTTGTGTCGATCTTGATGTCTCTGTGCAATTGTTCAAGTGTCCAGGCTTGCATGGTATCATTGAGATACAGCACAACAATGTGACCCGCGTTGGAAAAGGCAGCTTTCTTGATCACAGCGTTCTTTACATCAACCTTTAACTGATGAGCTTTGCTGTAAGACCGCAGGTCCCATATTATCACCTCGTTCCTGGAGCCGGTTAGGCAATAATTCCTGTAAAAGGAAACGTGTGTCGCTGCTAATCTATGACCAGATAACAGACAGAACTCGTTGACGTCTGCGTGAAGCTTCCAGATCTTTATATCGCCTGTATCGAGTCCTATCAATATTTCTCCCTCGGATACAGGATTGAATGCCAGAAATGTGGATCGTCCGACTTTCCCGAATACTTTGTAACATGGAATTTCATCTGACAATTCGACGCAATGCAGGTATCCTTTGGTGTCCACTGCGATCAGGTATTCCTCGTCGTAGTCAAAGGACATTTGCGTGAAACCGAGCCTGGCTGTGCAATATCGTTTCTCGACACTGGCTCTAGGCTCGTATCTGAAACTATCATTGCTCTTAATCAACTTATTCCAACCGCTATGCATTGTAGGAGGTAATTATAGATATAATTATTCGATATAATTATTCAATATAATTTTCCCAGAGATTCTCCCTTTGTTCCAGCATCATCATTATATGTTGCTCTTTCCAATTGTGCTGGAAAATATCAAAATAGAGAGAAAAATAAGTATAAATACATAGCAAAAAAAACAGTATAAATACATAATAAAAAAATATATAAATGCATAGCAAAAAAAATAGTATAAATATAAGAAATAGATGAAATATAAAATATAATAATATAAATTATAATAATAGAAAAATATAAAACTCACACATGATATAATTCTTTCTTTCTTCTACAAGAAATATTTCGACAATTTCACGCAACGCGTCACGTCAAATCGATGACAGTTGTATCGTGAATTATCACCTGTCGAACTGTCAGTTGTCGTTTTTACCAATGATAAATAATACAGAATCTAATTGGCTGATGATAAATAAAAAGAGAAAAAATGAATTTACGTTAAATTTATATTAAATAATTACTAATTATGTATAAATTATGCCTAAAATAGATAGAAAAATAGTATAAATACATAGTAAAAAAATATATAAATGCATAGCAAAAAAATAGTATAAATACAAGAAATAGATGAAATATAAAATATAATAATATAAAATATAATAATATAAAAATATAATAAAACTCACATATGATATAATTCTTTCTTTCTTCTTTCTACAAGAAATAATTTGACAATTTCACGCAAATCGATGATAATTGTATCGTGAATTATCAGCTGTTGATTTGTCAGTTCTCGTTTTTACCAACGATAAATAATGCAGAATCTAACTGGCTGATGATAAATAAAATGGGAAAAATGAATTTACGTTAAATTTATATTAAATAATTACTAATTATAATTTATCCCCTAACTGTTTTTTTCTGGAAAAGACGGGCGAGGAAAATTGATCGATTGTTTACTCGGGTCCGGATATCCGAATCTGATTTGCAAGAGTCGCAAAATGGTTGTCGCGAGTGCCCTCTCATTTCGCGAGATATTCTATGCTTATTTCTCGGACCGAAGCAACGACAGCCTCCTTCATGTCAATTTAGTCGCCTAAAAGGCCTCTTTTTTTTCCAAGTGGGCGATTCTTGAATCCTGTAGTCAACAGATAATTCATTCATAATGGTAAGAAGTGTAAAGATCGTTGGTTTGATTTTTTTCTTGATGATTTCAGATATTGTATATCACAGTGGACACTTGAGGGGACAATGTTTACATCCAAGTAGCATATCTTTTACATGTATAGTATTTCTGAACTTTATAAATATTTTGAGGATTTCTCTCGATTTTAAGTTTCTTTTTCATGATAACTTCTATTGAGATGTATTATATGGTATCGAATAAAATATGTCTATATAAATTTTGCATTAAAACCTGTTCGCAGTCTGTTGCTGAGTTTTTGAAGGGACTCCCATCGCATGATGAAAACAACTTTGCAAACTTTCATACAGATAATGGCAATCGAACGTGTGTCAAGAGACCATCGGTTTATCTTCCGACTAAGGATTATCCTTCAGAGCAAAGTATGTGTAAATTGTAATTATACAGACTAATATATTATGTATGCATGTAATAAAATTATTTTATATTTTTGCTCAGTTATAGTCACTGAAAAAACCACTATTCTGTTGAGGTATCTGCATCAACAGTGGGATAAGAAGGTAAAAAGAAATTATATAGATAAATTATAATAGAAATTATATAATAGATAAATTGATAAGACCTGAATTGATAAGCTATATGAATATTGCTGAAATAAAAATTTATATATGTGTCTATAAAACAAAGGATATCAATTTTACATATCAATTTTAAAGTAATGTTTGCTACATAAAGATACAAAAATATTTACAGAGACTTACAATTAGTAAAGCATTATCATTATGTTTATAATTGTAATTATATTATTAAATTATATAATTAAATAATTTAATATAATAAATATATTATTAAATATAATTAAATATAATATTTATTATATAATAAATATACTATTTAAATATAATTATATTATTTAAATATAATAAATATATTATTAAATATAATATATTTATTATATTTAAAGTTATATAATATATTTCTTCTAATAATAATATGTTATTAATTATTATATATGTTATTACTAATTATTTTTATCAAATAATTTAATTATATTTTTAATTGAATATAAACTTTTTTTTAGAGCATAGACAGGAAAAGAGAATTCTTGTCCACTAATGGTGACGCTCAGGATGATGCATCGACAGTGCGCAGTAAAAGGCCGCGTCTCGATTTGAATAACAGTCTTTAAGATACGTTGCACATTTTTCATACATACATACATCCATATATATGTGTATATATATATATATATATATATATATATATATATATATATAATATTCTTAAATAATCGACATTTATATATGATCTGTATCAATTATTCACAGACAGAAATGTGTTTATAGTATGAAACTATTTTATTGATTAAATTTATGGAATTGAAAGTAAAGAATGTATCATTTTCGATAATCTTTTTTAAGAAATTTACACATATACATTTTTTTGATATGGATTTTATTTATAAATGTAGATGTGTACAAAATATCACAAAATGATACATACATATATATATTACATGTTTTTATTGTGATTTATTTTTAATCGCGTTCGCATCTCAATCATGTACAATCATATTAGATATTTGAATTGTCATACATTATATTGCAGCAATTTTAAATGAAGCAATCATTGCTGTATATTGATGTTTGTATATTTTTTCCTTTATAGAAGTTATTTATTATCGAGAAAAAAGCGAAATTTAGGATAGACGATATATGTGCAACAAAATAGATTATTATTATTTCGAGTTATTATTTGGAGCAGAAGCTAAGAAAGCATTTATCTTGTTATGAAATAAAATAAATTTGTGTGAATCTGTTTTACAAAAAATACTAAATAAATCTATGCAAAATAAAACAAAATTCTACATTATTAATTATTAAATAATAAAAATTTGAATTTTCTCTTAAGTATTTCTGACTCTTAAATCTCTATAAATAATTAAAACTTGAATCGTAATTATATATTTTTTGCAAATTACATATACAAATATTATTTATTCGATATAATTTCTGAAAACAAACAAATATTATTATCATATGATAATTTTTGCCTGTGTCATACATCGATATAAATCAAAGTGATTTTATATCAGTGCTTAAAAGATAATTTCACGATTTATGACTTTGTTTAAATCCCAAGTGCAATATCTTTCCACATTTTTTTATATACATATATACAGGGTGTCCAAGACTTAACGAATCAACCATTAATGGTAGATTCTTAGAGATCATTAGGAAACGAAAATCTTAATACCAAAATGTTGAGGAAGATATAGTTTCGGCGCTAAAAGAATAAAGATTACCAATCGGCGTGTTACATTTTCCTATGCTCACAACATAGCACATCAAGGGACCTGCGTACAACGCGATAATATCGATATCGATATAGGGATGAATATAAAATAAAAAATAGGATTCTGCAGTGAACGCGATTGTATTTTCCATGCAACAATAGTCAATAGTTTGGACATTTTTATGAAGTCTTCCTCAACATTTTTAGTATTAGAATTTTCGTCTGAGGAATCGACTATTAACGGCTAATTCGTTAAGTCTGGAACACCCTGTATATTATTTACTCATTCAATATAATTTCCGAAAACAAAAAAATAGTATTATATGAATAAATTTTTCCTGTTATACAGGGTATTTCAGATCACCAGTACCACCCATGTAAAAACTAGAAAAGTGGTTATTTCAAAAAAGGAAAAACATTTTCTTTATAAATCGGATGCGCTCTATCGAATGGTGATATTTGCAACTTCTGATTCCGGCCGGAAATAGGCGATTCAGACCGGAAGTGCATTTTTTTAAATGGAATCCCCTATTTTTCATTACATATTCTTGTAGCTTATCTCGAGAGCTTTCCAAAACTATAATAAATTATTTTTCCATTAAGTACTTTTCGAGTTATGAGGCTTGAAATCATTTCTTAATTTTACACAAACCATAAAATATCTTGTAAAATATTCATTTTTCGATTATCTTTAATACTTTTATGTACAAAATAATGAAAGAAATCAATTGGTGTAAAGAAAACATACAGTTGTTTTTAAGAAAAAATATGAAATTGTTAATTGCAAATTACATATTTTTTTTAAAAAAACAACTATTTTTTCTTTACATCAATTGATTTCTCTCATTATTTTGTATATAAAAGTATTAAGATAAGATAATCGAAAAATAAATATTTTACAAGATATTTTATGGTATAAAATTAAGAAATGATTTCAAAATAATTTTGATTTTTGTAAAATTAAGAAATGATTTCAAGCCCCGTAACTCAAAAAATACTTCATGGAAAAATAATTTATTATAGTGTTTTGGAAAGTTCTCGAGATAAGCTATAAGAATAGGTAATAACAAATAGGGGATTCCATTTAAAAAAATGGAGATGACCTTGAAATCTCTGAAGCGCCTCTACCTACAAAAAAATTATTAGTAGCATATTACGGCCCTCTTAGTACCGTACAACTTTTACAAGTGTAAAATTTTTGTATCTCTAAAAATAACAGAGATATTCCAGATGGACAGAGTTATTGGTCCACCCTGTATACAGGGTGTATCTGAAATGATGCATTAAAATTTAGGAGCGTATTCTAGATATCAAAATAACACTTTTTTTTCCTATAAATATGGATCTGCAAATGAACCCCCTCCGAGCTAAAGGCCCCTAAAATTTGGGGAAAAAATTAAAAATTTGCTGCATTTCAGAAAAAAAAAAGTTTTGATGTTACCTATCATCCTCTCTTGAAAGAAAAATAAATTTACGTTGCGCGCGTTTGATCAATTTCACACGTTTTCTTAGAAACAACTATGTGTTTTCTTTACACCAATTGATTCCTCTCATTATTTTGTACATAAAAGTATTAAGGTAAGATAATCGAAAAGTGAAAATTTTACAAAATATTTTATGGTTTATGTAAAATTAAGAAATGATTTCAAGCCTCGTAATTCAAAAAGTACTTCATAGAAAAATAATTTATTATAGTGTTTTGGAAAGCTCTCCAAGTAAGCTACAAGAATATGCAATGAAAAATAGGGGGTACCATTTAAAAAAATGCGCACTCGATTTATAAAGAAATTGTTTTTATTTTTTTGAAATAACCACTTCTCCAGTTTTTAAATGGGTGGTACGAGTGGTCTGAAACACCCTGTATATCGATATAAAAAATGATATACCAGGTACGTAAAAGATAATTTTACGCACGACTTTGTTTATCGTAGATATATTTTTTCTGTAATACTTTTTTTTTCAAATTTCTATATCCTCAATTTATGTTTGAAGTTTGAAATTTGCAGTTTCCAAAAGTTTCGCGTAATTTCCATTTGGTGGAGTTGCGTCTCGAAGAGACGACTCGGCGCCAACGTCAGATCTCGTGTCCGCTTCGTACTTCATGCATGATGTAACGCGACATAACCAAGGGGCAGAAAAAAAACTGGCGAAAAATATTTACAGTTTACGGACGGAACGAGAGAGAGAGAAAGAGAGATGTAACGGGCAGGCAGATTATTTCGATTTGTCGCATCTATCCGGTGGATCGTGCGACCTGACATGGAAAATCCGCGCCAAGTAATCGCGAATCTGTCATCGCGTTTACAGAGCCCCGATGCGATTCCGTTACTAAATATAGGATTTATTTTTAGGTTGGAGCTGGCCGTGCTTTGAATCGGGAATCTGCCCCAAAATCAGATTTCTAGGAGGTAACGTGCTCGCAAGACACCAGGTCTACTGGATTCCCGTATCTTGCTTTCAATCGCAACACCTCGTGTCGACGTGTATTTTTCTCCAATATATCAATACAAGTCCCCATACAAGTTTTTCAATCAAGTTTTGGAACCTTGCGCAATGATACTCTTCATATCTTTCCTATAGTCATGTGGATACGTGGAAGTTAAAGGGCAATTTATGCCTTGAAAATATCGTTAGGATATTAATTTATTGTTGTAATTGCAGGGGCAAAAATGGCAAATGATGTAATAATCAGGGGCAAAGACAGGCTACAAGAGATTAGCATGAAATTGGAGCAGAGTCATTTGGTGTACTTGCAAACGGATGACAGTCCATTGAAGCTGCAACAACGACACAAATTGGAAGGTAATGTGTGTCGGACTTTGCCTACTTGTATGTGTATTTTATATATATTTTGATATCGAGAACTGTAATATAATTAATATGTTACAATAATGTAATAATAATATAACTGATGTATAAGTTACAATAATGTAATAATAATATAACTAATATATAAGTTATAATAATATAATAATAATATAACTAATAAATAAGTTATAATAATATAATTAATATATAACATCGTATCTGAAATGATACACTAAACTTTAGGAGCGTATTCTAGAGCTAATATTCGAAAATGTGTGAGATTGACCAAACGCGCGCAACGTAAATTTATTTAACTCTCAAGAGAGAGTGATAGGTAATATCAAAACTTTTTTTTTCTGAAATGCAGCAAATTTTTAATTTTTCCACAAACTTTAGGGGTTTCTAGCTCGGAGGGGATTCATTTGCAGACCCATATTTATAGGAAAAAAAAGTCTTATTTTGATCTCTAGAATACGTTCCTAAAGTTTAGTGCATCATTGCAGATACAACCTGTATACAGGGTGGACCAATAATTCTGTCCATCTAGAATATCTCCGTTATTTTTAGAGATACAAAAATTTTGTACTTATAAAAGTTGTAATAATTTTTTTGTAGGTGGAGACGCTTCAGAGATTTCAAGGTCTTCTCCATTTTTTTAAATACAACCCCTCATTTTTTATTACCTATTCTTATAGCTTATCTCGAGAATTTTCCAAAACACTATAATAAAGTATTTCTTCATGAGTACTTTTCGAGTTATGAGGCTTGAAATCATTTCTTAATTTTACATAAACCATAAAATATCTAGTAAAATATTCATTTTTTTATTATTTTACCTTAATACTTTTACATACAAAATAATGAGAGAAATCAATTGATGTAAAGAAAAAATAGTTGTTTTTAAAAAAAATATGTAATTTGCAATTAACAATTTCATATTTTTTCTTAAAAACAACTGTATGTTTTCTTTACACCAATTGATCCTCTCATTATTTTGTACATAAAAGCATTAAGGTAAGATAATCGAAAAATGAATATTTTACAAGATATTTTATGGTTTATGTAAAATTAAGAAATTATTTCAATCCTCGTAACTTAAAAAGTACTCAATGAAGAAATATTTTATTATAGTGTTTTGGAAAGCTCTCGAGATAAGCTATAAGAATAGATAATAAAAAATAGGGGGTTCCATTTAAAAAAATGGAAATGACCTTGAAATCTCTGAAGCGCCACCACCTACAAAAAAATAATTAGTAGCATGTTACGACCCTCTTGGTACTGTACAACTTTTATAAGTACAAAATTTTTGTATCTCTAAAAATAACGGAGATATTCCAGGTGGACAGAGTTAATGATCCACCCTGTATGTGTATATATATATATTAATGTATATATATATAGAGGGTGTTTCATAAGTGGTGGGTAAAATTTCATTAATATATATGTGTATATATACATATACATATATATATATATATATATATATATATATATATATATATATATATATATTAATGACTATGATATTAATTTCAGGCTTTATAAAGGAATACCTTTGCCTGGTACCCAATGAGAATAAATATGTGTTTCAAGAGACAGCAGATATTTTGCACAGATCAGCAGCTACAGTGACGGATTTCAGTGGATACAGAGCAGCTACTGCTTGGAGCGCAATTTCCCTGTATGCGGCTAATCTTTTGGCACAACCTTGGCGAAAAGAATATAGGACAGTGAGGGTGATTAGCTGACAAAATATTGTCATTGCTCCATGTTTGGAAATAACATAATTTAACATATTCGAATCTTGTATGCATATTTGATTAAATTTTAGACGTACAGTGGTTATTACAAGCATGAAGTAGAGGCGAATCTCATAGGTGCAGAATTAATGTTTGAACAAATGGGATACAAGCACACTGGTCTAGGTGTGTTGACCTTGGACGGACCGATTGATCCGGACAAGGTCTCAAATGTCAGCAGGGACGCTATTGTAGCCTTTGTAGAGTGTCAGGTAAGGATGATGATAAGTAAATCAACTGCAAGTGTATACAATATACCCCAATCTGTCAATTTGAATTTCAGATTTTGAAGCAAATATGGGAAAGCGTGTCGCAGAACTACACCATCTCTTGGCTGGAGGTCCTGGAATTTCGCGAGAGCCACGTCGGTACACCCGAGCAGGCCATACGAGCCCTCAACTATCGCTTTCTCGAGAAGATGCATCAGAACCGGTGCGCGAAGGTCGACAGCTACAAAGATATCTACTACCCGCAGCAAACGAGCGTCGAGACCGTGCCGTTGCCTCTGCCCTATCATCACCCAGTCGTGCACGCCAGTTACAACGCGACGATGCCGTCGGTTTGTCAAACGGCGGACTATCGGTGCATCGAGGACGCGACAAACGTGGCGGTACCGGCCAGTTATCGATTCTACCAGCCCATCGATCACGGTTTTGTCAATTGTTGCAACAGCTACGGCTGCCTGGCGTCCCACGGGAGTAAATTCTACGGCAACGTTGGCCAGCCGCATCCGTATTGCGCCACTTTACCAGCGTACGCGGCCCGAGTGCCTACTGGCAGGCTGATCGAGCTTGACGTGCCAGGATCGGTTGCGAATTACGCGGATAAAATTCACGCTCCTCGCAAACCTACGCAAACCCACCGAATATCGGATCTGGACGAGGTGGACTTCTACAGACGGCAGACCTCGAGCGAGGGGGACCACCACGAATACGGTAAAAACGACAAGAGGCAGGTGGTCGGCAAGTTGAACTCTAGCGTTGGTAGAGACGGCTACGATAACGACGGCTCGTGGGACTTTGTGTACAGAAATCTCGAGAGCTTAGGCTATTACAAAGACCTCGACGTTCGGGACGACGTGTTGCACAAGAAGGAGCTGGATCCCGTGCGCGCGCTCAAGCACAAGACACTCAGGCAAGCGGAGAACGAGGACAAGTACAGCGGGCATAGATTGGAGAAGAGAAGAACCGGCAGCAGGACCGAGGCGAATGACGTGGACTCGGTCGAGATGAACGGTAAGGGTCACCAGGATATTCTGCCCTTCAAGAAGAAGTCCTCGTCCTTCGATTTGTCGGATTCGAATAGGTACAGCACCGAAACGTATAACAGGGAGAAAAAGCACAACAGCCAAACTCTGCCGATTCCGCGAACGCACAAATCCTCGGATCAGATAGCGAAAATTGCGGATTCGCTCAAGAATCTCGATGTCGCGCGATTGAGCAGGGGAGAGAAGGAGGAGGAGGAGGCGGCGAGCAAGAGGAAGTGGAATTGCGCCACGTGCACGTATCTGAACGCAGCTGATCGGGATATCTGCGAGATGTGCGCCAAGTCGAGGTGCAAGGGAAACGAGGATAAACCGCTCGCCAGCGGTGGTAAGGAATGCCCGAAATGCACGCTGGTGAACGAGAAGAACGTCTCTATCTGTGATGCTTGCCATACCAGTCTGAAGGATTCCCCGACGTACATATGAACAGACTGAGAGAAGGAGAGAGAAGCTCTTGGCGAAAGAGGAAGGGAGCTTTCGCACATTTTTCACAAAGGTTTGCACAAAGGTATTTTGCGTGTAAGATATAGGATCCTTGAAGGACGAAGTTGTAATGTGAATCTTGTCCAACGACCTAAGAGAAACATGAATACAGAAAACTTAAAGGCATAAAATATATATTAGCGTATACATGAATTTATCAAGTATATGAAGAAGAGAAAGCTATTTATTTAAAATTTATCTCGCGCAGGATAAAGGGAGCTTGTAATATAAGAAACTTTCTTAGCGTTTATTGATATTGTTACGTTGTGTGGCCTATTAAATGAGTATCGAGTAGGCACTGACTTCGCATGCATCACTGTTATTAGTATTACTATAGCATTCGACGCGAGGTAATTAAAAAATTGTAATTAAAAAATAAAATTTAATCGCAGATATTAGGCCGAGGTTTATAAAACAATATCACGAGATTAATTGAGAGATGCGTGAAACGCTGGAACATTACTTATTCGACAAATATTTAATCATATGTTTATTCTTCTCGTATACAGGATGTTTCAGACCACTCGTACCAGCCATTTAAAAACCAGAGAAGTGGTTATTTCAAAAAAGTAAAAACATTTTCTTTATAAATCGGGTGCGCTCTATCGAATAGTGATATTTTCAACTTCTGGTTCCGGCCGGAAATAGGTAATTCAGACCGGAAGTGCATTTTTTTTAATGAAACCCCTTATTTTTCATTGCATATTCTTGTAGCTTATCTCGAGAGCTTTCCAAAGCACTATAATAAATTGTTTTTCCTTCAAGTACTTTTTGAATTATGAGGCTTGAAATCATTTCTTAATTTTACATAAACTGTAAAATATCTTGTAAAATATTCATTTTTCGATTATCTTACCTTAATACTTTTATATACAAAATAATAAGAGGAATCAATTGGTGTAAAGAAAACACATAGTTGTTTCTAAGAAAAAATATGTAATTTGCAATTAACAATTCCATATTTTTTCTTACAAACAACTGTATGTTTTCTTTACAATTCATTCTTCTCATTATTTTGTACATAAAAGTATTAAGGTAAGATAATCGAAAAATGAATATTTTACAAGATATTTTATAGTTTACATAAAATTAAGAAATGATTTCAAGCCTCATAGCTCGAAAAGTACTTCATGGAAAAATAATTTATTATAGTGTTTTGAAAAGCTCTCGAGGTAAGAACAACTACAAGAATATGCAATGAAAAATAGGGGGTTCCATTTAAAAAAATGCGCACTCGATTTATAAAGAAATTGTTTTTACTTTTTTGAAATAACCACTTTTCTAGTTTTTAAATGAGTGGCACGGGTGGTCTGAAACACCCTGTATGTAACTTTTGTGCAATTTACTTTTTAAATTAAATCGTCATGCATGGAGTAAATTTTATTTTTTACAAACAAATCAATTTAATACAATTAATTTTTATAAAAGAACGCTGTAATTAATCGAAAAAGATACTGTTACTATAATAAATAAATTTTATATAGCATTAAATTACTCGAAATCTGTCACGCTTAAAAAAAAAAGGGAACTCGGTTTCGATTTACAAATGGTAGTTTATACAGTGTTATTAAGATTAAAGAATTTTTTTTTACAGTAAAACTTTGAAAACGAATTTGATAAGATACAACGCAAAATGTTAAACCCTTCGCTCTTTCCCCCTTTTTCCCAGAATACACACCTAAAATTATTACATTATTAGTTTCGGATTGTTGTTATAATTATTATATTAACAAATGTTGCGCTATATTATTACAAGAGAAAATTATAAATGTAACCAAGATATAAAACATGATGAGAAGAAAATGTGTGAAATTCTATTGTAATCGGTGAAATTTATAGTATCTACATCTGTATTAAAATTGCGTAGAGACAGCTATTTATTTAGAAACTGTTATACAAATATTTATTCATACATTCCTTATTCATTGAGAATCATTAAAAAAAAATATTAAATGCGTTCTACTTATTCTAGATATCTTTTGTTAACGTATCTCTGCAACACACGTTTTTACCCTTTATTTAAGCTTGTTTTAGAGATATATACTATTGTTGAAGATACATGTAATTTTATATATGTAAGATATATATGCAAAATGCCGTGTTTCCCACAATTTATCAATGTTGCATAAAATATTATGTACGTATACGCATAGCCAAGTATACCATTAGCTAATTGAAATGTTTTGAGGGATAATGGAACTTTGCTCAACAGAGAGCTCTATAGCAATGCTTGAGCTAATGTACTTTAATTTACAAATGTGTAAAATTTTTATTGCGACTGTACTGACTTAGCCTAATTCACATAATTCAATATGTTGAAAATAATAAGAGAAATGACTTGCAATATTTATAGTTACATTTGTGCTTGATTATAGGCAACATTGAAATATTAATGAATAACGTAATTGACACTTTTGAAAAAGCGAAGCTTTAGTACAATATGATCTTCGTGCTTTTCTTAGATAATGTGTTTGCATCTCAAACACATACTCTATTTCGATACAAATAATTTTTTAATACCGTTTATAAAAGTCTGACTTTACAACCATAATAGAATATCGGTAATATTTTTTCATGGACAAAATATATGAGAGAATGATAAATAAAATAGGTAGACGATATTAAAACATGCATGAACAGTTACAGTGTAACATCTTGTGAAGTTTATGTAAATTGTATAATGATCTGTTGTATACAAATAAGAAATTGAATGTAAAGTATGCATATATTTAGATAAAATTTTTATTAGACGCATTGTATGAGAGAACTCACACTTTTGTACAAAACGCAGATGATTATTTTTAATAGAATGCATGTAACATTTTTAAATTATTAATACAAATAAACATATACCTCTGGAAAATATTTTTCTATTTAATTTAACAGAACGGAAACGAAGTATAAGAAAGAAACTAGTACGAGAATATCAATTATTGACCATTCGCATGACTTTGTCTAAATATTTGGAAGCAGTTTGATGAATTTTCTTATCCATTTTATCTACAACATAAAAAAAGACAATATTATATTAATCATAATTAATAGAAATGCAAGCGAAAAGATTAAAAAATGGAAATATATATTATGATTACTTACATATTTTATGTTTTCCTTTGATGTGAAAATTTATCGGTAACATGTAAGGATTTTCGCATATGAAAACATATGGACTATCACTTTCCCCTTCTGGATATAGTTTTCTGTATTCTTCCTGAGGCAGAACATCTGTCACTGTTACACAGCCTAACAAGCAACTTGTGGGGTAAGTCTCAGGAAACTTAATTGTTCCTAAAAGGACATATCAAGATGGATTTATAAAATTAAAATTAAAAATATTTAATTAAATTAATTATATTAAAAATATAATTAAGGTAAAATATAAAATAAATAAAAATATAAATAAGATAAGGATATTAAAATTATAATTTAGGTAAAATATAAAATAAATAAAAATATAATTAAGGTAAAATATAAAATAAATAAAAATATAAATAAGGTAAAACTATAATTGAGAAAAAATATTTCAAGATGAATATTTTACTAACTATCTTTTAATATGTTGTAGAGATGCTGTGTATTGGATATGTCCTCAGGGGAAGGTACCTTAGCAGCTGATGCTATCCATAATCTTCCTCTGTGCGAAGAATACCAAGTTCTACCCTCGTGGCTGATAACAATAGATTCGTATCAGATATTCTGACTGTGCAAATTATCTTTTTTTAATTGCCATGAACTCACATTTTTATTCCTGCCACCAGCAACGACGCGTAAGGCTGATGCATGCTCAAACACAGGCCCTGATCAGACATTTCTAAATATTCCTTATCTTGAATTCTGCTTTCTGTATTCCACGTATCATTTTTTTTACTTGTTCCAAACATTCCCATGTCGATAAACTTGGCATAACATATATATAATAATTATAAATAATTATACAGGGTGTCCCAAAAGTCCTGGACCGGTCGAATATTTCATAAATTATGCACTTTAGAAAGAAATGTTTCAGACAAAAGTTGTAAAAGTTGACAAAAGTTGGCTGAAGGGGGCCATATCAGATAGTGGCAATGATTTGACATGGGAGAGTCACGCATTGAAAGTCACGTGAAGATCACCGTCAATTTCTTAAATGGAACTCCCTATTTTTTATTACATATTCGTGTAGCTTATCTCGAGAGCTTTCCAAAGCACTATAATAAAGTATTTTTTCATTGAGTACTTTTCGAGTTATGAGGCTTGAAATCATTTCTTAATTTTACATAAACCATAAAATATCTAGTAAAATATTCATTTTTCGATTATCTTACCTTAATAATTTTATGTACAAAATAATGAGAGGAATCAATTGGTGTAAAGAAAACACATAGTTGTTTTAAAAAAAATGTAATTGTTAATTGCAAATTACATATTTTTTTCTTAAAAACAACTATGTTTTTTCTTTACACCAATTGATTCCTCTCATTATTTTGTACATAAAATTATTAAGGTAAGATAATCGAAAAATGAATATTTTACAAGATATTTTATGGTTTATGTAAAATTAAGAAATGATTTCAAGCCTCCTAACTCGAAAAGTACTCAATGAAGAAATACTTTATTATAGTGCTTTGGAAAGCTCTCGAGATAAGCTACACGAATATGTAATAAAAAATAGGGAGTTCCATTTAAGAAATTGACGGTGATCTTCACGTGATTTTCAACACGTGACTCTCCCATGTCAAATCATTGCCACTATCTGATGGCCCCCTTCAAGCCATACATCTTTTGTCTGAAACATTTCTTTCTAAAGTGTATAGTTTATGAAATATTCAACCGGTCCGGGATTTTTGGGATACCCTGTACAATAATTGATATTAATTATATATAATATTTTATATAATAATTATATAATTGATATTGATTATAATATAATAATTGATATATAATGAAAAATACACAACAGAAAATTGCTCATTGTTGAAAATTAATCAGAAGTGGACTTCTAATTTACTGTTATTAATTATAAAACATTCGCGATCTTACTGTTGGACGGTCAAATTCTATCGTTGGACAGATATTCGGATTTTCCGAGTCGTCGTACGACATTGCTTCACCAAGGTCTTCCAATTGTAAATCATTGAATTGTTCATCATCGACTACTCTTCCCATAAAATCTATAGCGACTCTTTTATCCAAACGCGAGGCATGCTTACGAGCTTGTGCCTCCGATTCTTGCTTCCGTAACTTCTCACGATCCTCAGCAGAAAGCCAAATATTATTTGACTGATAATAATCCGACTCGTCATCAATCACCTTGGTACGGCGGGCGCTATTTTTTATAATTATTGATTAATTAAATATAAATAAATATAAATAAATATAATTATTAATTAAATATAAATAAATATAAATAATTATAATTATTAATTAAATATAAATAAATATAAATGATTTTGAGAGATGCAAACATATATACCTGTTGCGATCAAATTCAAGAAGCTTGTCCCTTTGTTTGAGGGAGTCTTCAAAATTTTTATTTGGCTTTTGTTCCATCAATTTGTTGTACAAGTTATCGGCCTGTTTAGTCTTGCTCTGAAGTACCACTTGTTGATTTGGAGAACAAACAAGTTCTCCACAAAAGAAGCATGGTCCTGCACCTTCTTGCGCACAGACTATTCTTCCGCAGTTGAGGCAATTGTTGATTAACGCATGTCTTTTTGCTTCACAGTTACACTTGTGTCTCCCTAAATATTGTCACAAAAATACAAAAAAAGTATATCATTTATATAAATTATATACATTTATTTAAATTGTTTAAATTATATTTATTTAAATTTAATTATTTTAATTATATTTATTTAAATTATATAATTTATATAAATGAATAAATATTGTCACAAAAATATAAAAGTATATCATTTATATAAATTATATAAATTTATTTAAATTGTTTAAATTATATTTATTTAAATTAAATTATTTAAATTAAATTATATTTATTTAAATTATATAATTTATATAAATGATTACTTTGTATACACATTATACAGATTTTTTTTATAAATACCTTTCAGAAGAACATCTCCATGAGATAATAAATTAACGTATTTAGTCTTCTTCTTTTCAGTCTTCTCTGGCTTCGTTTCAACTTTTGCAGTCTCTTGCAGCTGTGCAAGAAAACAGCGGAAGGTCTTTATAACTTTCTAACAGTAACTCGTTGAGTAATTTTGGAAAAGTACAAAATACCTGTGCATTTTCCTTTCCCCTCGCTTTTCCCTTCTTCTTTTCATTCTGTTTGTTGGACACATTGTCGCTATTATTCGTTTTCTTATAACCCATTTGATTGGTATAAGACGCTGGAAATTGCATAATTTGATGTAAACCTCTCTCGTCTATCCGTCAAAAATATACTCCTGGGCAAAATTAACGCATAATTTTTTTTCCAAAGTTTTTCCTTTAAAAGCTGATATTTTTAATTTTAATGAAGAATTTTGAAGAAAAAGTGAAAAAAAAATTATGCGTTAATTTTCTTGAGATTCATCCACTCATCTGCTCACCACGTTGTTTCTTGAAGTCTACGACAAATTGTCTGTGTTTTGGATTCCCGCTGTCCAGTAAAGTTGCAAAATAGCTTTCCAAATCCCTCTCATTTTCTATTTGCATAACGAATCTGAAATTGACATAATGCACGTGATATGACACGATATGACAAATAAATAAAATACAGAGAGGAGAATTTTTATATATGTATATATTATCTAGGATACTTTCATTGGGCACTTACTGAACAAAGTCATCCTGAATCTGAAAGTCCAATAATTCGGACAATTTCTCTTTCACCCACTTTTCCATGATAACGACTAATAACGACGATTGACAAATGAGTAATGATAATTCACAGCTATTGTATTGTCATACATACTTTTATATTTTGTCACCCTATATATTAGACTTTCGATACTACAGGTGATCGATATGTTCGATAGATATATCGATATTTCGATTCATATCGATTATATTTAAATTTATGTGTTCAAATTTGTTACTTGGCAATGTGCTTTAATTGCAAAAAATTGTCAGCTAATCAAACGATAAATGTCTTTATCGACGTTAAATACAGGGTGTTTCAGATCATCTGTACTACCTATTTAAAAACTAGAGAAGTGGTTATTTCAAAAAAGGAAAAACATTTTCTTTATAAATCGGGTGCGCTCTATCGAATGGTGATATTTTCAATTTCTGATTCCGGCCGGAAATAGGCGATTTAGACCGGAAGTGCATTTTTTTAAATGGAACCCCCTATTTTTCATTGCATATTCTTGTAGCTTATTTCGAGAGCTTTCTAAAACACTATAATAAATTATTTTTCCATGAAGTACTTTTCGAGTTACGAGGCTTAAAATCATTTTTTAATTTTATGTAAACCATAAAATATCTTGTAAAATATTCATTTTTCGATTATCTTACCTTAATACTTTTATGTACAAAATAATGAGAGGAATTAATTGGTGTAAAGAAAACACATAGTTGTTTCTACGAAAAAATATGTAATTTGCAATTAACAATTCCATATTTTTTCTTAAAAACAACTGTATGTTTTCTTTACATCAATTGATTCCTCTCAGTATTTTATACATAAAAGTATTAAGGTAAGATAATCGAAAAATGAATATTTTACAAGATATTTTATGGTTTATGTAAAATTAAGAAATGATTTCAAGCCTCATAACTCAAAAAGTACTTAAGGAAAAAACAATTTATTATAGTGTTTTGGAAAGCTCTCGAGATAAGCTACAAGAATATGCAATGAAAAATAGGGG